GGTGGGGCGCAGAGATGTGATAGGGGGGTCGTGACTGGACGGGAGTTTTTTTTTTTTAAATAAATTTTTTTGACCTCAGGCCGGAATCGAACCTGGGTCCTCGCGAGCGTTAGTGGACTGTTACAGCCGGAGACAAATCCTGTTTTTGTCCCCCCACTTTACAAATAGGCCTATGTTTATTATAATTTTTTAACGCAAACCGTCATCGCCACGGAGGAGCACACAGCCTCTGTGAGCGAGCGAGACAGAGCTAGAGAGAGCACACATTTATCTATTTAATATAGCCTAGGTGTAAAAAATAAAGTAAGAAATCATTCCAATGTGTGCTATAGGACAGTAAAAACAAATAATAAAGTTTAAAAGGGGAGTGATTAGTAAAAATATGCCTAAGTAAAAAGAAAGAAGGCTAACTACATGCCGCCAGACCCCCCTAGAGGAGGTGAGGTCCACCCCCAAATAAAGCAGGTCAAAATAATTAAATTGCATACATTTTCTTTTAGTAAAAATTGAAAACGGGTCCCACAGACCCAAACAGCACACAAAGGTTAAAGGTAAGCATATAATAATGTTCAAATGTGCTAAATATATACAGTGCAAAAAAACTAAAAAAGAGGAGTAAAAGTAGCTCACGCCTTGTTTTATTTTTTGAAAGTAGCTCTCATCCTAAAAAAGGTTGGAGACCCCTGTTATAGAACGATACATTTGACAATTTGAATCTTGGCCTACCATTTTATTGGAGCGATGAGGAACAGGTGGGGCTTGAAAAGGCACACCTGTTCAAAGTGGGGAATGACAGAAAAAGTTTGAGAACCACTGACCTAAACCCTCCTGTGAAGTAATGGCAAAAAGATATAGGACACTGAAACATTTAAATTGCCATTACATTAAGTAGAATCGTACTCTGAGTGAAACTGAACAATATAAGAAACATATCGCATTGGATTAAGGATCGTTTTCACCGGACAAACAATCGGATTACTTCACAACCGACACCGTCATCCCGGATCAGCTGGACAACATGCCACAATCAGCTGGAGATTGTCACCACCTGCGCTCATCAAGACGGCGAAAGGAGACGCCGAAAACCAAGGCGGGGAAAGCGGCCGGGTATGTGCAGCACTAAAACTGGATTGTATATTGGATACATAAGCTGTATTGGACAATGGCTTGGATTTGCTGCAATAATGTCAGCTGTTTGAATCAGCGCGCTGGCGGCAAACGGACAGACAGCAAACAAAACTTAAAGGAACAGTGAACATTATGCCTGTCAATTCGGATGTTACGTCAACAGATGGCGCTGTTGGGATGGGATCTGTAATGGAAAAAAGGATCACCCAACGCATGGCCAATAGATGGGAGTTGTTTACTGTAAAAAAACAACTAAATAAGCTTAAACCAGGGCCCTACACTCATAAAACCACTATGGTTTTTCTCCTGTGTGAGCACGAAGATGTTTTTGAGAGCATCTGCTCTAGCGTAAGTTTTCCCACACTCTTCACACCAGTACGGTTTTTCTCCAGTGTGAATACGGCGATGTGATTTGAGATTACCTGATGTAGTGAAACTTGTCCCACACTCTTCACAGCTGTAAGGTTTTTCTCCGGTATGAATACGGCGATGTGATTCTAGAACACCTAATGTAGTGAAAGTTTTCCCACACTCTTCACAGCTGTGAGGTCTTTCTCCAGTGTGAATAAGGCGATGTGCTTTGAGAGCATTTAATCTAGAGAAAGTTTTCCCACACTCTTCACAGCTGTAAGGTTTTTCTCCAGTGTGAACACGGTGATGTGTTTTGTGAGCATCTGATGTAGTGAAAGTTTTCCCACACTCTTCACAGCTGTAAGGTTTTTCTCCCGTGTGAATACGGTGATGTGATTGGAGATGACTTGATTGTGTGAAAGTTTTCCCACACTCTTCACAGCTGTAAGGTTTTTCTCCCATGTGAATACGTTTATGTGATTGGAGAGCACCTGATTGAGTGAAAGTTTTCCCA